CATATTTTTGACATGGATACAAAATCAAACAACTCAGTGCAAAAGTAGCAAAGACATGCTCCGTAGTGTAGGAGAAGGATGTCAGCTGCAGAGTAGGTGATTGCATCCCACCAAACCATTTCTTTTCCTTGAAATTTATTTTACAGATAGAGAAAGTGATAGGGTTGGCTAACAGTGCATTATTTCAAGAAGGGTAAAAATAAAAATGAACTAGTTCCTTTTGTCCTTTGTGTTACAGTGTAAGCTATCTGTAACAAATGATATACAGTTCTCATTACAGAATCCTAACCCAATTTTTCCTTTTAACAGATAAAGATAGTTCTAAAAGAAAATTAACCTAGTATAATCCTTGAGTTACTGGTGTTTCACGGTCTGATTTAATACTTTACCAATTTTACTTTACCAATTTACCAGAAGGTGAATTTTGTTTTGAACTTTCTCCATATTAAACAGGAGAAATGGTGCTGATTTTTATCTGCATTATGTTCACCTTGTATTTGTAAATACAATGAATTATGTGGTTCCTCAGCAGTATAATATGAAATTACTGCAGGTGTTTCTCGTGGGAAAGGTCAGGATCTATTTCTTAGATCATTCTATGAAAGTCTGCAACTCATCCAAGAGAAGAAACTGCAAATGCCACCTATACATGCAGTAATAGTGGGAAGTGACATGAATGCGCAGACCAAATTTGAAACTGAACTGCGTAACTTTGTGGCGGAGAAGAAAATTCAGGATCGTGTTCACTTTGTTAACAAAACTCTGAACGTAGCTCCATATCTGGCATCTATTGATGTACTTGTTCAAAATTCTCAGGTACTTTGTTAATTGACAGTTCTGATACCATATTGCATTCTTTTATCATTTTCTAACAGGATTACTCATATTGTCCCCTGAACCTGCTGTACCATCGGATTTCATCATTTCCCTTCTCCCTTTCCCATTATAGGTCATTATGTTGCTCGCTGCCTTTGGTAATAACGTTCACTATTGACTTTCTTTCCTTGAACATTAATTTCCCAAATTGTTATACTAAGGTGCTCAGTTGAACTCAATAAACTCTTCAGAAACACCTTTGAAACTTCCTTAATTCCATTCACTTATGAATGCAGGACATTTGTCCAGAATTGGGTACTACTAGTCAATTTTTTCTATCGATATTTTGAAAAGAAAGGGTCACCTTTCAAAGTGATGCATTTGTCCTTCAGTGAGTCATGGTGATTTCTCTATACTTTAAAACAGAAATCAATTCCTTCTGTTGTGTGATTTGTTTGGCAGTACATTCACTCACGGTACACAGCAGTCAGTGACTGGGGAAGAGAGAAAAATAGACATGAGAATAGATATGGAGACAGGAAAGGAATGTTATCCAGCTGCGAGAATGACATTATTTTAATCCCTCCCCCCCTTCTAAATTAAAATATACATAAATAGAAGAAAAAGATCCTGGACATCCAGTAAAAAATGGGGAAACAAAATGAAATTTGATGGGATTTATGCTTATGATTAATCTTAAGTTCCACATACTGATTAAGCGAAACATTTTATCCAGGCACGGGGAGAGTGCTTTGGGAGGATTACTATTGAAGCTATGGCTTTTCAGCTGCCTGTATTGGTAAGCCTTTGATTTTTGCTACTCAATTTTTGTGATCTACATGCATCATATGTCAATGTCCTTAAAACACATATTAGTGCATTAAGCATGTTTGGGAAGTATTTTATAAACTGTTTTAAATTATATATGGATAGAAATGATTGATGGATAAGTGAGTAATAATTGGGGCTCCCATGAAATGGGTAAATGAAAAGTGGCTTGACCAATTATGAACAGATTATAACATTAGCCAAACATGGGCCAAGTCTTTTGATTGTGTATGCTGCAGAAACTCTCTCAAAGTCGCTTTCTTTTTTCATCAGACTATTTTGTTACTGATTCAGCTAACAAATTGGGAGATCTGCGGTTTCAACTGGGATCCACATGTCAATTATAATAAATAAATTTGACCACAGTTTTTTTTATAGATAAACCTAGTATATTGTCTGCAAATGAACAGCTTTATACCAGGAATGATCATCAATTTTTTCTTTTTCATTTTTCATTTTTTTAAAATAAAATGGTAGAACACTTTTCCTTCCAGGAGCTTGATTGGTTCTGTTGAATTTCTCTCTAATACTTTAGTGCATGACTACCCATGCTCCTCATTCTTCTTTCACACTTACCTATGCACATCTCATACGTATCAGGGGACTGCAGCTGGAGGTACTATGGAGATTGTTGTAAATGGAACCACTGGGAGGCTGCATCCGGCTGGAAAAGAGGGCATAAAAACTCTTGCAAATAACATTGTTGAGCTAACCACAGATGTTGAGACGAGGCTTGCAATGGGGAAAAAGGGATACGAAAGGGTTAATGAAATGTTTCTGGAACACCATATGTCCCACAGGATATCCTTGGTTTTGAAGGATGTTTTGAAAAAGGCGAAAAGTAAAGCTTAGCTCAAAAGGGTTATATATTTTCTCACATTTCATTTTTTTCCCTTTCATTTCTGAGTAGAAAGGAATGCAAATAGAAATCCAACTCACGTATAACACTTCCTTTCCTTGCTTTGTACGATATGACTGGGAAAACTGTTTGTTAATAGTGTATGAAATGTTAGCCTCTCCCAGTTTGTTGCAGTTTTTTGGGGGCGTTTCTGTCAATTTTCTCATTTATTCTTTGTAATGTCTCCTTTCTTGAACTTCACAACAGTATCTTATTACTCTTTCTATCTAATTGGAAGTTCTGAAAGTGTTTGTGCGAATTTATATGTATTTATACAGTTTGTTAAAAAAAAATTTGAAAATGAAGTATATATTATGGTTAAAATCTACAACTTTGGAGCATTAAAATTGAAATTGACAAATATAAATTCAATACTTTAAAGGATTCAGTTGCTTCACCCATCAATTCAAGACACAAGCTTATATTTCCGTTTCAAGTTGTGGTTTACGTTAGACTTCGCTTAAAATCCAATAAAAAATGGAATTTGGCTTCTTCTTAGACTTTATGACTAGTACCAAGAGTGCTACCGTCTGAAAATGCTAGTTTCTTATCTAATAAAATTGCTCAAAGAAGTCAAAATTGACGACTTAGACTTTTTGAGGAGTGCCAAGAGCAATGCCGTTTAAAAATGTTAAGTAGTGTTTGATACCAACTTCATGAAAAATGAAAATTCATTTACACCTTTTGCCAAAAATGAGTGTTTGATAGGTAAAAAATTCTAAAAAATTCATTTTCTGCCACCTAAGCAATTTTCCCACTTTTCCTTAAATTGGAATGGTGAGAATTACAATTCCGGTTAACTTTAGGTGAATTATTATTATTATTATTATTATTATTATTATTATTATTTTGCAATGGAAACAAATTTTAAGAATAATTGTAAAAAAATATTTTTCTTTAATTGGTAATTTTCATGTAAAACAAAACCAAACGAACACCAAAAGATAGATGATTTTCTTGATTTTTTTTTTGAGTTCGCAATGGAAACAAATTTCATCCCCAATACCAGTAAAATATATCCCTTTAATTGATAATTTTCATGTAAAGCAAAACCAAACGAACACTAAAAAAACACTTTTATTTCAACATTTTCTACTTGAAAAATTATACCAATCAAACACAATAATTTACGATTCCCAGACAAACAATTTCTAGACAATTCAATTCTTTAAAATTTGTTTTTAATTCAATTCAATTTCATCTTTACAATCAAACGGATCCTTAATCACTTTCAAAAAATTAACAAAGTCAAACATACTTTTAGGACCTTGAAATCACGTTTCAAAAGATACACAATTACATTGTACTATTTTTGCACACCAAGTGCTCGCTCTCGCCCTCATAATAATTGAGCTCTTCTTTTTCTTTTTCTTTTCTTTTTCAGTGTTTCTAGAAGAAGAAGAATCTATGCAATTTTTACTTAGTTCGTTGGATTGTACATAAATAAAAAAGATTTCAAGATTTTTAGTTTCTGTCCATATTGTTCGGATCGTAAACTCAGGAGGATTCAGTTGAACACATATAGGATTACGAACTACTTCAACAATAATATAAAATAAGAAGAGGGTTATAAAAACAAGTCCCGAGAGTCATGTCGAAAACGCTGTCCTAAAGTCGTGTTAGTCCCACAATTAAGTCATTAAAATAGATGTTATAACATGAATTGTGATGTTTTAATTGTGTTAAAAGTGATTATTAAATAAATAAAAACAGAAAATTAAATAGGTTAAATGTTGAAAGGTGAAAACTTAATTTTAAATTACAACAATCCCCCATAAGTTTTAAACTTTCAAAATAATTTAAAATTTATAATAGTGGCAACATAATACTGTGCAATAGGTGTAGGTGTCTTTTGGACTTGAACTAATAATTTTCATTTGAGGGAGCCATAATGGACTAAGCCTTGAATTAGATTCCTTTGATTAAACTTCAACTGTTCCACACACGGTATCGATTTAGGCTCAGTTATAGAAGGTAGCGCTTTTAATTGACATACGCTCTAATCTTGATTTTAAGAGTCTTTAGGGAATAACCCAATCCCATAGTCACGACCTTATGGCAACTTTTACATAGGTGAGTCCTCCAAGGATGTGTGTGATCCACACCTCACGAGAATTCTCGCCTCGGTACTCATTCAAGGTTAAACCCTTCTTCACGTCACATTATTATTAGCACTATCATCGTAGGAATGAGGACAAATGATATAGTGCTATTATGAGTCACGCAATACGAGTTATTTTTACCACATTGAACCTTCTTCATGGGATCTCTAATCACAAATGTTAAGTTACTCTCAAAAGTCACTCCCTTATGAGCTTAAGTCCATCCCCCTCGATAATTTATTATGTCCATTATGGCCTAAATTTATTTCATGTCCCTTTTGGACAGTAATTTGATATCATCAATTTGCAAATCTTATTCTCCTCATGCATTTCTGCCCATCTTCACATCTACAAAGTCATCGAAGAATTTTCCAAAATGTCAATATCACATATATATTTATAATAAAATAACGTCATGGTCTCATATTGACTTCTAGTAACATGTTTGGGGAGATACATCCATTAAACTCTTGCATTTCACTTGTAATATTCAAATTCATTTGTAGCACTATTCAAGAGTTAGTTTACAACTAAGAAAATATAGGGTGTATCTCTATTAAACACCTCCACATTCCAAAAGTATCCATTGTTGTGGAATTTTTTTGAAATTTTCCATGTCTGTAAATACTTCTAAACACTTTCACAAAGTATTATCGTCACAATAAATAAAAATAACTTAGATAGATTTAAATAAAGTATGACATTTTGATATTCATTTACCTTCTTTTCAAACATTGACCAAAGACAAGAAAACCCTATTAAATAGTTTAATACTCCCATATTACAATGATATCCAACCTGAATTGAGTAAATATATGATCTTCAATTTTATAATTTATTTCTTATACTAGAAGAATTGCATATCATAAATCAAGTTAAATGAGATGATATTACTTTGTAGAGCTTCACATATAACTTTGAATGCAGGTCAACTTCATTATAATTATGAATAATCATGGATATTTAACATAAATAAATCCAAAATTTTTAATATTCCCTAACTTTTGAAATTTCTTTTCTGAGTAAGGTTTCCTTGTTAAATTTTTAAAGACTTAAAACTAATTTGAAAATAAGATTAATTAGCGCTAAAAAAATATTGCTCCATTTATAAATTTTTTTTTTTGAATTACCCGCATTAAATTATAGAATGTGATCCGTTGACTTTTATAATGACTAATCTTTACTTCTTCAGAATGATATTTTTATTTCTTATCTCATCATTAGAATCTTTCGACCTATGCACATGTATATAAATCTTCTAATGATGAATTTGATGCAAGGTCATTATGCTATTTTCTCTTACTCGTTCATCTCATAATGAAAGAATGAATTGATATAAGTTTCACCTATCAAAACTGCAAAAGAAGTCTTCATGGCTGTAAACTCATATAATCACCAGTATTTCTAAACTCACGGACAAGAATTTTATAGATGTGTTTTTCAATCATAGTAGTTATGTCGAAGGAGAAATATGAGACATTTGCTAAGGATACCTTAAAGCCATGAAAATGATCCCAACTCCGAAAAGAAAATAAATTCAAAATCTTATAAATCTTTCAAACATTCACAATTTTTTATTCTATTTATTTATTTTCTCGATTGGGATAATGATCAACGAAATGAGCTCAAATTAGCATTTCCATCCGTCTAAACTTTAATACGCAAATGATTTATCGTATTCCAAAGTTGGTGTTGGATGGAAGAATCCTAGACTCAATAAACATATCCAAAACAAATAACAAAATCACCAAAGTTTTGAATCATAATCCATACTTTGAAAATGTCAATATAGTTTATGGGAAACTCATCACATTTTTCACGAAACGAGTATCAAATATGCAACAGATGAATTAGTTGTTTCGACTTCCGAAACTAAGACAAATCAAGAAAACAGAGCGAACTTAAAAAAAAAAAAAAAAAAAATCTCAAAATAACCTTTCTCATTCTAATTTGTATATTGGTTTTTCCTTGTATCAAATGTGAGAACGAGGTATACTAATTGTTCTAAACCAAAAATATGCATGATAGAATTTTCTGCAATTTTTTATTTTACTTCTTAATTGTTGAATAACAAATTTGTAATTATTCACTCTCCAATATAGATTGATTTTAGTACAGTTAGTTACCAAGGGAGAAGTAGTTGAAGGCTTTAGACACGCTCCTTGTATGAAATTATTTTCACTACCTCTAAGTGCAATTAAATTTATTTTATAGACGATCATATTATTATTATTATTGATTAGGCAGGGCTGTTACCAATTCACCCTCATAAACTTCTTATACGAACAGCTACCTAAAATACAACAGTTTCGTGGCCCTCCTATGCAATAGCTTCATGGCCCTTCTAATCTAAAAAATTAGGTCGCTCACACCAAGGACAAATTATGGGAGTTCATTCCCAATTTTGTAAAGATGTCACAGTGCCCAAATTTCTTAATTTAATGAAAAGAATAAGAAATTTCCCAAGGCCAGCCTGTAAAATGGTAGAGTTTAAGGCCACACATCCTACGGGAGGTTTATCAGACCAGTCAAAAGGTTCGAGGATTATCATTATGACCGAGCTGGGAATGCCATACTTGCCTTTCCAGCTTGCTAGCATATCTCCCATTACGATAGACCTATAGGAACTTGCCCCCACTCCTCCTGGGCATTCCCCTCACTGCTTTCATGAGATTCTAACTCCTCACTGCCCAAATCCTCCCTAATCCGCCCCATCTCCCTAAGTCGACCTACAGTAACCGTGTTAACAACCGAAAGGGGAATCGGGGTGAAGATCTCCCTACAACTAGATGAAGAGCTGGAATTCGAAGGGACTGATTCTTCCTACCAATTTTCCCAGGAATGAACCCTAGATTCGTCCGAACTCATATACAAATCGAGATGAAAATGTGTTTTGAAAGGATGAAGAAAAGATGCAGAAGAATACCTGGGAATTGAAGAAAAAATGACCTCACTTAAGAATAAAGATGGACGGACTAAAAAAAATTTCTTGCTACCTCGGAGAGGAAAAATCGCATAAAGTACAGTAAAAGAGAGGCTCAAAAACAATTTAAAAGGATGGAAGATTAAAAGGC